CTTGTTCATTTTGAGGGAAATAGGGGGAGATGATTATAATATGCAAGACTTGAACTATTGCTTCCATATGCAAGACATGAACTATTGCTTCCATATGGTATTCTTAAATCTTTTAAAGAAGTTGTGTTATTGTTTGCAAGTTTAGGTTTATGTTTGTGATTTTACCCAATATGCTTTTGTTTTGATGATCTCTAATAATTCTTATAATCGTGAAGAATGTCTTTAAGATTGTGCCTTACATCTCACACGGTGTAGTTGTCTAAAAATTGGTGAAAGAGGAAGTTTGTTATTACATCTTATTGGCATTATTTTATAAGGAACATATGAATTCATATGTCATGACATTGTATAAGACATTATCTCTCTATCTTCATTAAGGAAGTAACATGTTGAAGCTACTGAACACCGAATAAATCTTACGCTAATTAGAGATTCATTTTCTTATTTATCTAATATGTTTTCTTTTTTAAATAAGGAAGTTTTTTTAAAAAATCTTTATATGCAAAATTAAAATATAAGATTTTACATATGATCAATATTTAATCAATCAAATATTTTTAATAAACATAATGGAAGATTGGTTACTTGTACTTGTAGAATGTTCGGTCGTCTTCAAAGACAATAATCCTAATGGGTTTTGAAGTTTGACCTTATGCTATTTAAGGAGAAGTTCTCCTTTGTAAAGTCTAAAACATTATACAATTAAGTTAGACGCTAGTTTTGAGTCGACTTGTTTTATTTTGTCATACTCTATTCTTAAATCTTATTCCTATATTAAGGAATAGAGAATTTGAGTTTGTAATTTCGTTCTACCATTACTCTTGTAATTGTCCAAACACACGATAGAGTGTTTGAATGAAAGTGGGATGAGTCTCATATTCAGAGGGTTCTTAATAAAAATTCACGAGTATTATTAGAAAAAGAGGCTCTGAATTATGAGAGTTTAATTCAGACTAATTTGTATTTCTGTATTAAGAATGAATTTCCTTTTTTGAATTAACGCCCTCCAGACATAGATAGCTTTGCCCCAAACTATGTTACCAATTTCCATATCATTTTATTTATTTTTTATTTCTTGATTACATATTACACTTCTCATACTCATTTTTACGATATTATATCTTGATATCATAACATTCTGATAATAAAATTTAATCTTAAACATTTACTTCAAACAATATTTCATACGAATCACAAAAATAAATTTTAAAATCCAATCCAATTTAAAATTTAAACCTTCATATATATATATATATATATATATATATATATATATATATATATATATATATATATATATATATATATATATATATATATATATATATATATATATATATATATATATATATATATATATATATATATATATATATATATATATATATATATATATATATATATATATATATATATATATATATATATATATATATATATATAATTGCTTGTTTGAAAATTGAAAATATCACCAAGTTCCTCACTTTCAAAAATATAATTGAAACACAAGGTGTTGCTTATCCTACTAATTGTGTAAATTGTAATGGCAAAATGTCAAAAACAACTGTGATTAATTACATATTGCAATATAGATTAAATTTTTTTACTTTTTACACAAATTACTAAATCTTTTGTAATAAATATTAATAAATGTATATTGAAAGACGAATTTTAAGGGCACAAATTGATTTGTCTGAGATCTATATCACAATTATGATTGTTGTATTTTGAGTCAAGATTCAATATATTTTGAAGTCGATCAGTCATAATGAGAAAATGGAAGCAAAACTAGAATTAGCCTTTACCTGGCCCTACGGTTTTGAAACCACACCTCCACTTGTCTTTGTCGGAGTTTCAGCTGCATTGCCAAACACTCTTTCTGCTTCTGCATATTAAATATATATAGCATCTCTTATGGACATGGTTAATATTGGTTATGCATGACACAAAGAGAATGATTATGGAGATTAACATACTGGGTTTAAAGTGTGGTTTTTTCTAAAGCTTTCTTCAAGGAGACGAGACTGTTCCTTTGTTAGACGGAGTTTTTTGCGAGGATTAACGTTGCTCTCTTCTTCCTCTTCTATTCTCATCCATTCTTCTTCTATGGCTACTTGGTTCATGTCCAACTTTTTCCCTGTAGTAAGACAACACAAAATTTATATAAAAAGGAAGAGAGCGTGATCAAAATCATGACAAAACTAAGGCATAGAAATTATGAAACTTGTACTGTGTGTGCTGCTTACCAGATGATGATGATGTGGTGAGAAAAGTGATTGGTGAAGAAGCAAAACCTGGGACAGATATGGTCAATTCCAAGCTGGAGGAACTTGTAGGTAAAACTGCCATAGAAAAAGAAGAAGATTCCTTGATGAAAAGAGAGGAAATAGATAAAGTGAAGAAAACAAAATTAGGAAACAGAAGACAGAAGCAGCAAAGGATATGTATGATGTGATGAATGAATTGTTTGGAGAGAAAAAAGGTCAAGATATAGTATAGAAAACTCAAGTAAAAAATAAAGGATATTATTAATAATTGGTCGTACGAAGGTTTATTATTAATAATGTATTGAAAATCAAAAGTAGGTTTATGTGGGGAAAATTGTATAACAAAGGGTGTAAAATTTTGAAATATTATGAGCATGGTCGTCGAAGTACTTAAAATATAATAACACAAAGAGGAGTAACCAATTGCCAAAACATTCATCAACACTTTTTTTTTCGGGTACTTAAATAGATAAAGCATCTACAATGGTGTCTTCCCTATTTAATACAAGTAAAATAGACATGATAAAAAAGAAAAGCAAATAAGAAAATAAGAAACAACACACCATAATATTATATTAGTTCGACCTAAAATTACAAGGTCTATTCCAGTTTTTATGGATTGTACTCTAAGATTTTCACTACCATAAAACTTTTAATACATGATTAGCCTTCAATCAATCTTACATTAAATTTTTACCTCAAGTTCAGTTTGCAACTTTTAACTTATTAGCGTTTTAAAAAAACAGTCATCTCTAAATTTATATTTACATATTAGAATAGTATAGAAGTGATTACACAAATTCTCTCTGACACCTAAAATTATATCTTAAATGAGTATGAGAATATGAAGTAATGTGAGAGTAGAGAAAAAAGTGTTTTTTTTTTCCTTCGGAAATCTTGTATGTTTTTAAAATGGAAAGTTTTGCTAAATTAGAAGCATAGTTGTTTACAAGGCTTTCATAATTCATTACTAAGCAATTTTTTTCTCATAATCGATGAGATAAGTTTCATAATCGATTATAGGCCAAGTTTCGCCACATTATCGATTACAAAAGTTTCCTAATCAATTATGATCAATTTTATAAATAATTGGCCCAAACCAATGTGATTTTCAAAATACTTTTGAAAATAGAAGAAGTTTTTTAAGAATAAGTTTAATAAGTGCGTATATGACTTTAATACATTAAAAATAACACGCTCAAATTATAATATTGATTTAAAAAAAAAATAAGATAGTTGAACACATAATGAGATGGCAAGCTTTAAACTCGTATTTGATGTTCTTTATCATTTGATTATCGTTTTTTATAAAAGATTTATCGTTTTTTTATTTGATTCAATCTTTCTTCTTCATTTGATGATATTTTTTATATTTTACTTGGATTCTCTTTGTCATCATAAAAACTAGTTATACATGTTAAGCACATAAAACTATATTTTTTTTCTTCCATTTTTGATGATAAACACATTCCTCATGAAAATGGCTTAGAAGAGAAATTAAGAAGAATAAAATATTAGAGTGTTAACTTGTTTGAAAGTGAATCCAATTACAAGAGGATGAATTGTGTGAATTTAAAAAATGATTTTCAATTATAAATTATTTGATAAATAAAAGTGTTTTAAAATAATTTCGTTAAAAAAATAGAGAATAGACAGCAAAATAAATAGAGAAATAGAAATCAGAGTAAATAAAGAAAATATAAAGAGATAAGAGTTGAGAGAATTACATCAAGATTTGACAAGTTCGGCCTTACCACTTGACCTACTACTGTCCCCGTAAATTTCTTGTTAAGATTTTCCACTATATCTGATGTTAGTTTTTCATAAGTTATGCTCACGAACCTTCTTACAAACAAACAAGAGTTTTGCAATGACTATTGTTCCTAATAAACACTATTTGGATAATCTCTCTGAGGCGAGTCAGGTGAGATCACAATTGTCCTATTTGTATGAGGTATTAATTGTCTCCTCTCTCTCTACCGGAAGTCCCTTTTATTACTTGTAATGCTACCGAGGGTGATTAAGGAAAACATCTTTAGATCTTATGTTAAAGTGATCTCTGATAACGTCTGCAGTTTTTTTAACTCCCATGTAACGTCTCATCCATCCTTTTTTGTAACTCTCATGCAATAAAGGAGACGTTTGTAACCGTCGTATGTGACTATTCATGTCGCATTCTAACACCCTCAAGAGATTGAATAAGATATACTCATTTACTAGAGTCATTATGGGACCGACACTGACTTATTCATGTCATTTAATAATGTTCCTCTTGATCGAGATTTAACTTGCTTAGGTTTATGATACCCAACTTGTTTGCTTCTTCATACTTGACCTCAAGAGCTCGATCTTGGGAATTTTGGGATGTACGTAAGCCCCTTGATCATGAGGTCCAATCGGATTAAAGTGTTGGGACAAGCGAATCTCAGAATTCCTTCTTCCTCGAGTCGATCACCTATTTGGTAAGTTACCGTGTGATAATGGTTTATTTTAAAAATATCAATAATGACAATTATTTTTTCTCTCCTTGTCATGATGATTTTTATGGGAACCCTAACTTTTTATCATGATTTTAGTTCGATACAACTCCTTGACCATTGTAAACTTATTTCCATAAAAAGAATCTCTCCTTCTTTGTTCTTTTATCTAACTAGTGATCTCTCTTTCAATACTTGATGGCGAGTTTCCTTTGCTCCCTTTGTCAATCATTTTTTTTCAAGCTCAAGCCTCACGTATTATTTTTTATGCCTTATTTACTTTCTTTTTCTCTTTTTTACTCTTTTGTTATGGTTATAATACATAATTTTGATGATTAGAGAGAATTCTCGATTTCCCTTACTGCTCATGAGAGAAGAAAACTCTAAGATGAATGTATGAGAGAATGTGATGGCCATATGAATTAAGCGGAGTTTGATCAGATTATTAGGGAAGTTTATGGTGAGATCTCTTCACCTATTAGTAAATCTGACTCAGAGTCTTCATCGTCAGGTTCCGTGGATATTCTGATGGATACAATGTGGTCTTTGATTGATAAACAAGTTCTAAGTTATGACTACAACGTCATCAATGACAACTACATCTCAAAGCTTTGCTCCAATAGTTAGATTTTCTATACCGGGAATAAGGAGGACGTTGTGTTAGAATCATGTATAGTTGGAGAGAGAGTTTGCTTTACTCGGTCAAAAAAAGTGTCAGATGAGTATTTTTACTTTTACTTAGGGGTAATCAAGGATTTTAAGATCTGTATTCCCATCACTGATTTTGAATGTGACGTCCTTAAAAACCTAAATATTTCCCTTTCTGAGTTACACCCAAATGGTTGGGGCTTTATTCAAGCTTTTGAACTTGTGTGTGAGACGATAAGCATAACCCCTACTTTAGGTTTGTTCTTCTCGTTCTTTGAGCTAAAAGGAGTGGGAAAAGTAGGTTGGTTTCCCTTAGTGGAATTTCAGGGAAGAGTTTCCTTCAAGCTTATACTGACAACTATAAAGGTTTCAAGGATAAATTCCTTCGAGTGAAGAGTGGGGAAAGGTGCCCTTAAGTTATGTAGCGTTGGATGTGAACTATTCTTTCCTGATTTATTGGTCTGATAGCCCATTGTTGGTTTCCAATTTTGATTATGACAAATTAAACGCTTTAGAAATCCAAGCTTTAGCCGCTCTAGATTCCTTCCAAGTAGTAAAAGTTAAGGACTTGCTACATATGGCCGACGACCTGAAACAAATTTCTAAATTCTTGGGTAATTCTTATATATGCCCTTTATTATTCTTAGGTGATCTTATTATTATTTTTTTGAACTTTACTTTGTTCATTTATTTCTAGCTAATATGACAAACCTCGAGCTATTTGAACAGAAGAAGCTAATGGTTGAAGCGAGAGCGAGGCGTGGGGAGTAGTCTGCCTCTAAGAGTGGCCAGATCACTATCCATACTAGGACTCTTAAAAGGAAGAAAAAGGATGTTGGCAAGGCAACCCCTATTATATTAGAACCCCTGACCGCCTCTGTTCCTCCCTCTAGGGCATCAAAACTGGGTTCTCCAAAAAGAATGAGGACTTTGATGAGTGATTATGTCATTCATGCCAACTTGGAAATTGCTACCCTAATTCAGGATTTAGGTGGCAATCATCAAGCTAATACATCAACCGAATTTAAGTTCTTGTCCAAAATTTTTACGGTTTGAAGTATCTTTATGATCATCTTTAAACTATTCCGACTTATGTTTTAGCGGCATGCCTCATAACATGGCCTTGTCGCGTACCGAGTTACTCCTTTTGAATGGTTTAACTAATTTAATTTGTTGATAATTTAGACCTTTTGATTAATTGATTAACCAATTTATTCATTTATTATAGGCTCTTTAGACCTTCAATTTGGTCATAGGCTTGATAGCCCGGCATGGGACTCTTATTTTCATGGCCGATTTTGTTAATTCAAAGGTTTTATTAAAACAATTCGGCCAGAGGTTCTTATTTACTTGGATGGCCACTTAAGTCAGAGGTTTTATTAACATAACCCAACTAGAGTTTCTTATTTACCTGGACAATTACTTAGGTCAGAGGGTTTATTAACATAACCTAATCAGAGGTTCTTATTTACTTGGCTGATTACTTAGGTCATAGGTTTTGTTAACATAACTCGACCGAGACAAGTTAGAACATCCGATAAACGAAGTAGAACTTTTTATTCACCTAAGACACCAAAATGAATAACTTCGCGCCGTATTTATCCTTATGGATGTGTAAAATGATACCCGTCCTCCTAAGGACTACACCATCCCATCTCAGGACGATCCATACTCGAGCATTATCCCCTTGCTGTCAAGGCGAACAATTTCGAGTTGAAACCTTCTCTGGAGCAAATCATGCAGCAGAACCAGTTCTCTAGTAACTCTACAGAGGACCCCGACTTGCATTTGTTCGAGTTTGTGTAGTAGGCAGACACGTTGAAAAGCAATGGTGCAAGTCTAGAAGCCATTTGACTACGTCTTTTCCCAATTTTTCTAAAGGACAAAGCCAGAGCCTGGCTACAATCCCTGCCATTAAAATCCATCACCACATGGAATGAACTGAAGAAGGAATTCT